CCTGAGACTGCCCTGCAAGCAGGCATGGCCAGGCTGGGGCCCCAGGAGAGGCCAGCAGACCAAGGGGTGCTCAGGTCGATCTGGCCCTCTATGATGTGCAAGACTGCCCTGCGGAGTTCAGATCAGACAGCTCCCCTAGGGCTAAAGTCTCCTATGGGAGCAAGCCATGCCTAGGGGGATGGCCATCCCTGGTTGTGCTCTGCTACAAACACTCCCGCACCAAACCCTCTGGGCTCCACATCAGCTGGCTTGCTGCCCTTACCACTTCTCTAAGCAGCTCTCCCTGCTAACTTGAGTGTTCATGGTGGTCAAGGGGTCTCCTCCTGCTGGGGTTCTGGAGGCCTGTGGCGAGAATGGATTGCTCCTTGCCAGTTCAACTGACCCATTTCCCTGGAGCCACTGGGGACCAGGAATGAGTTCCCCCATGCAGTGTTCCCAGCTTTCTCCCCTTCAGCCCAGCTTCTGTGTCTTGCCTCCATCCACTCTGGGTGCCTTCCCTCTGAAGATCTGTTAAGAGCACACCTGTCATCTGGATCCCTGGGTGGGAGCTGTTCCCTCTGGCTGCCTCCAGATGACTTTTATGTATCTAAATGGAGCATGCTTTCTGTAATACTGAACAGTTACAGTGCAGCTTGTACTTAAACACTTCTCATGGGAGCACTAAACCATCCAAAGTGGCCTCGCCTACCTTGGGCAGAAGTATTAGAAGACCATGGTAAAGCTGGGTAAAATTTATCTTTTTATTGCTTCTAACAAGTGGCTGTATCAATTCTTGGAACAAAATCGAAACTTTTTTTTTTTTTCTGAAATGTCTTTGGGAACTTGTATTTTTTAAATTTGAGCAGACCATCTATGGTTTTTTTTTTATACAAATAATTGTACCATTCTCTTTGCTGGAGGAAATAGAAGTAGATGATAGTATTTTTTATTCTGTGATATGTTAGCATTATTCCATATTATCCAAACTTAGCAGCTACTTTTTCCCTGTCACTCATTTTTTATTGTTAAACATTTAAAACATAAAAAAAGCCAAAGAAAAATCACATGAGGGACACTTGCCTCAGACTCAAACCTCTTGTGCCTCTTCAGATTTCACTGGTGCCACCTGCTTCCTGGGCTTCCAGCCACTGGTTCCACCTCCACTTCCTGCACCAGACATTCTTCATGGTTCTTCTGCCTGGGGCTGCCCAGTCTCTTGTCCGTGGCATGTTGGGCCCTTTGGATGCCCTTATATAGCCAGGCTGACCAGCTGCACCCAGGGTTTCTGGCTCTTCTGCTACTACCAGCCTTGGCTATAACTGCCTACTACAGGGTATGGATCCAGTATCCAGAATGAACTCCTAGAGGTCGGATGATTCCATCCAGCAGTTGGAGGGGGACTTGCTGTGCCTTGGGGTGACCTTTGACCAGTTAGAAATAAGAGATGGAAGACAAGTAGCAGATTCATTCCTATTCTTTCTCCCTCCCTTGGATGACTCCAAGACACTATTTCTCTTTACAGAATGCCTGGTGAAGCTCCAGCGTTCCGACTGGAGGCCCCTGCTGAACAGCTCTGTTGCTCTTCCTGGCTCGTGGTAGAGCAGCAGCTGGGGTGCTCATGCGTTCATTAGCATTGCTGCAGGTCTTTCACTGCACTGCTTTCCTCATACTTGCAGTCGTAGGGGCCCCAATGAAGCATAATTATGTCAGTCTTTGCCTCAGGTTAGAGTCATGAGAACCCAAGCCAAGAGGATACCTTGTAGATACTACATATGATAAACAGGGAACAATTCATTTTTTGTTTGTTATGCCAAGTATGGAATACAAACTCTTCTTTCTTCTTTGAGACAGAGTCTTGCTCTGTCACCCAGGCTGGAGTGCAGTGGTGCAATCTCAGCTCACTGCAACCTCCGCCTCCTGGGTTCAAGTGATTCTCCTGCCTTAGCCTCCTGAGTAGCTGGGATTACAGGCATGTGCCACTATGCCCCGTTAATTTTTTTATTTTTAGTAGAGACGGGAGTTTTACCATGTTGGTCAGGCTGGTGATCAAACTCCTGACCTTAAGTCATCCACCTGCCTCAGCCTCCCAAAGTGCTGCAATTATAGGCTAAACTATTTGTGTGTGTGTAGCATTTAGCCTCAACTCATTCTGGAACTTACTCTTCATGACATTTTAATATGCAGGAATTCATTTCATAATTTATACTCTTTAAACAAAACCGTAAGAGTTTCTACCAGTTTCTCACTGGCTTAAAAAAAAAAACTTGCTTAATTGATTTTCTTCTACTTGCGTGTAAAATAAAAGAATAAACTGACAATAATTGGGTCATGAATTTTTACTAACTCATATTGACAAGGGTTCTGTTTCATTCCTCTTCATTTTGTGTAGGTGGGAGGCCCTATAGCTTGGCCATAATATTAAAAGTTTAAGTAGATATTTCTAATTTCTCCTTCTGGCAATTAAGAGTCACATCATTTCAAGGTCATCTATCATTCTTATTCTTGACATTACATCTGCCTAGATCTACATTTCTGAATTGACATGTAAAATATGATGTATATCTAATTTTTATACATTTTTTAGTATGAGGCTCAACTGCAGGTAATTCAAATTATGTGGAACAACTTTTAGGTTTGGTCTTTAAAAAAAATGATAGTTTCTGCTTACACATCAATATAGTATTGCTCATTAGGATCATTACCTGTTATACTTTATGTTGTTAACCAGACCTATAAAAATATTCTTTTTTTGTGAATAAAAATTAAAAGGCCTACTTAGCCGTGCTTAATGAAGATAGTATGCACATACATGAAGTTCATAGATATCCAGGAAGAAAATAAACATAACATTTATGAAAGGAATTGGAACACAAGGGCGTGCAGGGTTGGTAGGTGAAACTCCGTGGTTTTGCGAACATGAAGCTTTTTAAGTATTTATTTTTAATTACCTGCTTTAGATTCACATTAGCCATACAATTAAATTATACCATTTTAGATGAAAGGATACTGAACTTTGTTCTGTGAGAGATGTGTGCTATTAATATTTATGGCTATTAAAAAGCCCCGACTCCATCCATGCACTCCTATCAAGATTAGGATGCTATTGAACCAGTGGCTATCACAGACATTTTTGAGTGCTGGGCAGAAATGTTCTCAGGAAGGTGACAGGTCATTCTCTTCACAACACAATGGAGATTTATGAAATAATCTGGGCAATGTCTAACTGTTCAAGCCTGTTCCATGTCAAGTTTACCTGCATTCCATGTTTGGGTAAGCGTATTTTCAAAAAGTTCTCTTTCACTGTGCCCAGAGTAAAGGAGGCACTCGCCACGTACAGCCACCCAAACACCTTAACAACAGGTATCGAACTGGTATATTCACCCAGAAAACGGGAGCTTCAGAAAAATATGAACATTTCCCTGGTGAAGCAAGGTAGTGAAAACATGTACAATTTTCCAAGATATAATTTTTACAAAGTATTTTCATTACAATATGACTTTTAAATGAGTTCTTGTGGGACTGAGAACAAACTGTCTCCTGCACACGAAAAATGACCCTCCGAGGAGTGCCAGTGGACATTGATGACCGGGGGCATTTGGAAAACTTCAACTTAAATTGTGAATATGCACTTATTTTATGGCGTAGATGCAAAAGCTGTTTCTAAGGAAAAAAAAGGAGAGGAACAGATGAAATAAGGACAGAATGATGTCTCTAAGTGTTGTAGCTGAGAATAGGGATATGTGGGTGTTCATTAGAATTCTTGGGGGGTGAATGTTTGAATATTGGTCTAGTATTTCTAAAAGGATTCCATTTCTTGACTTTGGGTCACGCAGTCCTGAGTTGAATTAGAGAAGTGGAGAGCTACATTGTGTTTGAGATTCACTGAGCCATTTCCTGGGGGAATTCATGCTGATAAAGAAAAGCTTCCTCTTCTCTTTGGAGGCCTTGAGAAGGGAAGGAAGAGGGGTTCTTCCTCTAATGGTGGGCCCGTGAGGAGGCTGGGAAGTGTGACTTTCTCCAGTAACCAGCTCTGTTCCTTTCCTCTTTTTCCAACACTCATGTGTCCCAAATCCCAGCCCCTCTTTCTCTCAGAGTCCTTCTGCCACCTCCCAGAACTGTAGAGCTGGGCGCCGTCAGGAGAGCCTATTGAAGAGCCTGCAAAATCTAGAGGCAGCTATGCGTTTATTCACTCACTTCCCACCTGTACTGTTGCTTTGTGTCACCTCTGATTTGGGCATTATAACTAGAACACCTGAATCTATCAGTGGACTTTATGTCCTGGAAAAATATTCATTCCTCTCCACTAGATGCTTGCTCTGCAGTGTTTCATGGCAAACGGCAGTGCACTCTTTGATGTTTTGTGGAGCTGACCTCATTTATTTTATTCAGAGTCTTCAGAGCATCAGATCACCTCCCTGAACAGGCTTGAAAATTCCTATGGTACAGCCAAGTTTATTCCTTTCCTCACATAAAAGTGATACCAGAAGACAAAGGCAAAATCTAGAGACTAGCACTGTGATGTTGAGCTGGTAAGGTGTAAGATGACAGAGAAGTCACCGGTACCCACAGCAGTACTTTGCACACAGCAAATGTTCAATTGGTTTTGAATGTTTAATACACCATATACTAGGGTACTGATTCTCTTTCATATTAAGACGGAAAATGAACTCCTATTATAGGAAATGAATTTGCCCTGAGCAAGGAAGAGCTTTCTAAAATGAGAGTTATATAAGAATTAAATAATCTGGGAGATAAGCGATTTTTTTTTTTCTGTCATTGGAGGTTTTCAAGAGGTCTACCTGATCCATATAACAGGGAAATGACAGGGGTAGGCCAGGTGCCTGGTGACTCTTGAGGTTCCACAATGATATATACAACAACAGTCTTAGAGGTGCCAGGAAATCTGACAGCGTTAGTCTCAGTGCAGTGTTTGGGATTGTCCTATACCAACCTCAAGTTAGAAGCTCAAGATTTTATAAGTCCCAGTTGTAAGTTAAATGGAGAAAGAAGAGGATGAGAAAGTTAGTTAAATAGTTTAATCAGAGCGGTTTTACAATTCTAAAATTAACAAGCAGACTTGTAATAAAAGAGCTCCAATGTTTGCAAAATGACCTTGTTTCCATTCTGAATCTGACTTTTTAATTGTAAAGGTTAGCATTACATTTAAAAGGACTCAAAATGGAAAAAAATGGAGTGATGTATATTATCATTTGTGATGCAACTGATGAAATCCCTGAATGGATATTGCTTCAGCTTTAATATTAAAAAATGACCTGACAAGAAGTCCTTAATCAACAAAACTGATCACAGGTGGCTGAAAGAAAGAGAAAAGCCCAAAACTACTGTCAAGTTCATAACGTATCACATTGTTGGTGGATGACACTGGCTCCAGATATACAATTAAGCCCACGACACTTTATTACTATGAATATAATTATCATGAAATTTCTCTCACGTTGATCAACTTGTTTCCGAAGGTTTTCTTTGTTCATTTAAACTTGCATAATAAACATGCAATGAATGGTTTCTTTTGAAAGTGTATTTTTTGCAGTCTTTTTGTTTTCATACAAAGATTTCATAAAGTTGCAATGTTGCATCAGAGCATTACCAAAATAATAGCAGGAGCATATGGCGGGGGCCGGGGGAGGGAGGGCAAATGTGAATTTAGCTGAATGAGAAGAGCCTCCTTTCGTCCTGAGACACACCACCCGCTTTTTTTTTTTTTCTCTTTTTAAGGTGCAAACTGCTTTTCTTACCCTCCCCCACCAAAGAAAAGACTAAAGGAAAAAAAAAAAAACCTCATAAAATCAATCTAAGAAAAGAAAGGTCGACATAAAGAAAATAAAGATGTTTTTTCATGCACATATCTTCTGCATAGCTCAACCCACATATAGTAAGGCACTATTTCCCTTCGCAACTGGTGTCCATGGCAGTCTGTTAAGTGCTACAGTGCTCTGTGACCATTAGACAGCTTCCTTCCAGGATGGTGAAATAAAGAGGCCGGGTGAGTGTGGCTGCCACGCGTCTCTGTGAAGGTCCCGTAGCTCGAGAAGACTCCAGGAGCCTCAGAAGAATATCTGTCTATGTGTGTTATGACAGTGTCCAGAATGGTTTTCTTTCCAGAATTCATTTTTTTGTCTGAGTATGAATTTAGATTATTCTTCCGTGTTTAGTCTCAACGTAAATACAGAAGGTGGCGGGGGGTGGGGAAACAGGTCTCCCGAAACAGAGTTTCGATGCTCCCAGAAAACACACAACGCTGGCAATTCACAAAATCAGCAAAATGTTTCCAAGAGAGCAGAGAAATTGAGAGAGGGGTGGGGTTTTGGTTTTGAGAGGTGATTGGGGTCTGAGTTTGTTTAATTTAGCTGGTCCTCATACTGTTTCCGGAAACAATCCCCTGCTGGGAAAAATTCCCAGCACCTTTCTTGATACATCTTCCAGACATAAGATTCCTGTAAAAGTCAAGGAAATGTATTAACATTTTCCCCTGTGTGCTAACAAAACATAAGGTAGAAACTCAATTTTGTTACCTATAGCACACGCAATAGAAGTCCACATTCATTTAGATGGTTCCTAACTAACTATACCAGACTTTATTAACTTCTAGTAGTAATCTTCATCCTGACCATAATAATGATTAAAAATATGTTGGCTGGGCACACTGGCTCACGCCTATGATCCCAGCATTTTGGGAGGCTGAGGTGGGAGGATCGCTTGAGCTCAGGCATTCGAGACCAGCCTGAGCAACATAACGAGATCTTGTCTGCACTAAAATAATAATAATAATAATAATAATAATAATAATAATAATAATAAAGCCAGGCGTGGTGGTGCATGCCTGTAGTTTCAGGTACTTGTGGGGCTGAAACAGGAGGATTTATTGAGCCCAGGAAGTCAAGGCTGTAGTGAGCCCTGATCACGCCACTGCACTCCAGCCTTGGAAAACAGCAAGACCTTGTCTCAAAAAATATATATGTATATGTGTGTGTGTATAAATATACATTTATGCTTTTGAGAGTTCTCTTAAAATATTGTATCCTTCAAATTCAAACTAACTGCACATTGGAAGAGGAACTTCAAATAGCTTAAATGCCTTAGACATTTAATATGCATCGTACATAATACTTTGAAGTTGATTGGAAATCATCTATCTGATTAAACAATCAAGGACATTATGCAATAATTAAGAACTCAATTTTTTAAAATAATGGAATTCAAAACTCAAATCCAGCATTTGCAGTTAGTAAAAGCTTATTGTTTTACATAAAATTAGTATAGAATTCTACTGTAACAAAGGCGATCTTTTCCATACTCATTCAACATAACGGGAACTTTATATCAAGATACCACAACTAATATCTGAAAGTAATTCCATCCCTCACTGTTTAATGCACACATTTCGTTCTGATATTTAGAGCTTCTCTATAATTTCTTTCAGAAGATGACACGTAATAATTTACCTACCTGTCCTGTGTGTTCTGTTTCGTCTTTGTTTATAAGATACATCAGAAAAAACCTACAGATACAGAGAGACTGATCAGAAATGAACTGTATGGAAATATTAGGATAAACAGGGCATATTTAGATAAATTGTATGCTGCATTCAATTATGGCCAGCACAGAGAAAATACCACATGCAAATTTTTGGAAAAATTACAGCGTACCAGAAAGAGGAAAGGCTGTTGACCTGACTTTTCTGATCTGCTGCTATTTGACCCTAGAGGCTTCAAGTTAGGAATATACACATTGGTCAGAATCAAATCAACACTGATGAATTAGAACCGAAGACTAGCTTAAGGAGAAGTTTTAATTTACTGATCAAGTTCCATTGAGTATAGTTAGACCAATTTTTTCCCTATAATGCTACTCGGCATCTCTTCTGTTTGTTACTAAAAGTGGTTCCAAAAATGAGTAAGAACAGCATTTTACCAAAGTATAGTTTTGGCTAATCTCGAGTAATGGAAAGATTTCTATGTATTAATATTTTTTGAAATGCAGCTTTTAAGTTGGTATCCAACAGTGCCTGTCGAGATCTGAAAGTCCTCTTAAGATCTGTAAGAAGAAAAACGGAGACTCGCCTCTCCTTAGGAAGCAGCCTGGGAAATCTTATCTAAAATGAGAAACGTGACCACGATTCGCAGAGAGGCTCTGCTCCTCCCTGTCCACGTCTTCATTTCAAGTTCTAGAAAGTATCATTTACATGAAGAGCTGCAACTTAACTTCTTAAGTCAACCTACTCCAGAGGAAAAGAGAGCCATCAGCTGTTGGTCTTTCTCTTAAAGCATCTGCGGCGATTGTTTTTTAAACAAGAAACAAAAAGCTCTCTATTCTGAGATGGGCGGGGACTGGTGGCGGCTACTGGAGAGGTGGAAGATTCTGAAACGGGCACACTCACAAGTAATTAGCCAAGTTGTGCTCCTGTAAAGTGTGGGTTTCAAAGCCATGTGGCACTGTGTCGAAGTAATCATTGCCTATCCCACAGATGAAGCATTTGGTCTAGAAAACAAAGGGAAACATTAACGTCAGAGTTCAGAAAGCAAAACAAAAGGAAAACACAACTCGCCATGTAGGGGCAGCTATTATTTGGTTCACTCAATACACGTCAAAGATCATCACATGGAGGCTGTGCCAAGCCCACAGATATAAATAGAACTGTCTCTGTAACTATATCTTGGTGTTGGCTTAAATGACACAGGTACCAGCAGCAGTAAGTAGCAGACACAGACAGGGAACAAGAGGATGATGATGATGATGATGGCTGCAAAGCAACGTCTTTTCCTTTCTCTAGCCTAGGTGAAAATGTCCAGGCTTAGTGATCAACTCTTGTTCATGACATTGACTAAAGTTATCTAAGCAGGATTAACTGTGTCCTCAACTGAAACTACAAACTTAGTACCCACCCACCCAAAGTCTGATGACCCAGGGGGAAAAGGTGCAGATCACTTTCCTTTAGAAAAGGCCAAATCAAATATCAAGCTATGAGGCATCCCATCTACAATTCAGTGAGGGCATGCCAGGTGCTGTGCTAGGTACAGAATTAGCCAGTGGATGTGTATGGAGAACAACTTTCAACTCTAGGGACCAGGTTCCTGGTCTTCTTGGTTCCACTTTCTCCAGACCATGCCTCTCCTAAGCAGCCTGTAGAGAGGCACCTGCTTAGGTCTGCCCCTTGCAGACAGGCCTGGTCCACAAAACCCAGGAGAAGCAGACCCCCTATTTTATTATTGGAATTGTACATGTACCATTTCAAATGTATTCAATAATTGTCCCATGTGACTCTGGTGCTCATCTTTCCCTACCAGTTGTAAGCTGTTTTATGCCATCTGAAGCATGTTTATGAGGTCCTGTATTTTAGGAACTACAACCAAGATGATTATCATAGTGTATAAAATTCTTCCTGCCTTATTGATCACCATCTGCTGACAGCTGATAGGCCACATTGAGCAATTGGGGAGAATAATCGATCAGGTCTTCATACCACTCCAATGACGTCTCTTCCATTGAACTGGCTCAAATCACACTCATCAGCTTTACCGAGGAACCTGTGCTTCCTCTGGGTTACCTGTGTCAGCTAACTATGCCACCATCCCTCTGGTGGCTAATGCCTGAAACCTGGATATCCCCTTGCTTGCTCCATCCTCTCCATCCTCTGCATTTGGCCAATCACCAAGTCCCTCACTGAGGATGCAGGAACTAGATGGATTCAGGCAGTACTTGCCCAACTCCCAGGTGGCACCTCTTTAGCAAAAGCTTCAGAGGCTCCCACCTGGAAAATGCTGACAGCTCACTTCCCTGTCCCTGTTCTTGCCAGTTTTTAGTTCATGCCTCACATTTTAAACCACAGTGATCTTTTTAAAATGCAAATCTGGTCATCTGACTGCCCTGCCTAAAGCCCTTTTCTTGTTTCCCACAGCCCATATATTAAACTGTAAATTTCTCAAATGAGTGATTAGGTTCTTCATTCACTGGTCTTCCTCTCCAGCCTCGGCCTCAGAATTTAATCTGCATCTGGTAGCACTGAGGCTGCTAAGAAAAAAACCTGCGCATCAAATTCCCTAAAATCGGTCTTGGCATATAATTTCAGGTGGTGATGGGCTCAAAGATCCCATTGTGAATGGTACCCTTGGAGACATCCATGGTGTGGGAGAAGGGGGTGGGAGGTTGCCCAAACTGTCCTCCTCTTTCCTTTTCAAACCCATAGACTTCCACAGTCTTCAGGCCTCAGCTCAGACATCCCTTCTAGGAAATTCCCTGACCATCCAGGAGTGAATCAGATACCAGCCCTGGAGACCCTAGCACTCAGGGTTTTACTCCTATAAAGGACTCACCACACTGCTCTGTAATCATCTGTTTACTTGTCATTGAATCTTTGGTTTTGAATGAATAGTCTCCTCACTTCTGGAGGGAAAGGACGGTGTCCTATTGCTGTTTGCATGCACGTGGGGTCCACCACGGTTTCAGCCGACCACGCTGTTCAACTATATGTATTGCTTGAATGGAAAACAGGCTAGTGAAACCACGAGTTGTGCCCTTTCCCCTCCTCCTTCCCACATTCATGATTCTCTCGATAAAGGCAGTAAGGAAAGCCAGGGCCCAGGACAACAAAAAGGCTGAGTCATGAATGGAGAAGCTTACCTCCATGTCTTCTTTGACTTGTTCCTGTTGGTCTCTTAGTTCTCCAAAAGCATCGATAATTAGACCTGGTGTTAAATAAAAACACAATTTAATCTTTCTCAAGCAATGAATAATTCAGTTCCTTGGCTGATCCCCTCAGGGAAAGGGGAGATGTACAACTACTTTGCAAAATGCTCAGAACATGGTAAACGTGACTACATATCCGATACTCATAGGAGAAGGGAGGCAGTGTTCTCTCCTTGGGGGCAGAAGTACGTGCAGTTACTGCGACATACGCTCACTGAAAGAGTGTTTTAAAATGAAGTGACAGCAGGAAAAACCTTTTGTTAACTTGGCATATACAGATGTTATTACATACTTCATGCTGAAAAAGAGCAGCTGAGGTTTATGGGTAAGTACAGAAAGCTCCACTAATAAGATTTTTCAAGTACTAATGTAGAAATAAAACATGACCACTTAAACGAAGAAATTTGCCTCAAGTCACTTTTTTTTTTTTTTTTTTCGAGACAGTCTTGCTCTGTCACCCAGGCTGGAGTGCAGTGATGCAATCACAGCTCACTGCAGCCTCAACCTCATGGGCTCAAGTGATCCTCCTGCCTCAGCTTCCCAAGTAGCTAGCGTTACAGGTGCATACCACCACACCCTGCTAATTTCTGTTTGTAGAGACAGGGTTTCATCATGTTGACCAGGCTGGTCTCGAACTCCTGGGCTCAAGCGATCTTCTGGCCTCAGCTTCCCAAAGTGTTAGGATTACAGGCATGAGCCATGGTGCCAGGCCTCAAATCACTTTTTTTCACAAGTCCCTTATAAGTAAGCTTCCATAATTTCATTGACTGTGGCAATCAGAAACACTGCGTTGTTTTAAGCTCCTTTTCTCTCCTGAGACCTGCTGGCTTCATACTTTCTTCCAAGTTATCTTATAACTTTGCCCTCTTAGAAAACACATGATTTTTACACTCAATAAGAGCACAATGAATGAATTATGAGTCCCTTAAACTTGTCCATGGTACTTTACTAAAAAATAGTGTCATTTGATGTCTGTGGAATTTAGATTGTCACATTTACAGACATTTAGTTCAAGCCAGGATAAATGTGTTAAGCAGAAAAGATAACATGACATTTCGGAGAGAGAAAAACACCACACTCCAAGTTGCCCAGAAGTAAAAGGAAGAACTAGTGGGTCAATACCAACACTGTGGTTGCAAGGGGTCTGGATCCAGATTGCCTGGGTATAGATGGATTCCAGCCCTGTTTAGCTGTGCACTTCGGCCAAGTTCCTTAGACTTATTGTGGCTCAGTTACTTCACACATAAAAGCACAATTCTCATAAGGTTGGTGAAATGGTAAAATTAGTTAATACATGTGCTCGGCAGATATTAGGTACTCAACAATGATACTATTAATAGTGTTATAGTTATTTATAAACCATTGACTATGCATCAAGTATTACACTGGGTACTTGAATGTATGTCCTTTTTTATTATACTTTAAGTTCTGGGGTACATGTGTAGAATGTGCAGATTTGTTACACAGGTATACATGTGCTATGGTGGTTTTTGCTGCACCCATCAACTCGTCATCTACATTAGGTATTTCTCCTAATGCTATCCCGACCCCCCAACAGGTCCTGGTGTGTGATGCCCCACTGTGTCCATGTGTTCTCATTGTTCAACTCCCACTTATGAGTGAGAACATGTGGTGTTTGTTTTCTGTTCTTGTGTTAGTTTGCTGAGAATGATGGTTTCCAGCTTCATCCACGTCCCTGCAAAGGACATGAACTCATCCTTTTTTATGGCTGCATAGTATTCCATGGTGTATATGTGGCACTTTTTAAAATCTAGTCTATCATTGATGGGCATTTGGGTTGGTTCCAAGTCTGCTATTGTGAACAGTGCCACAATAAACATGTGTGTGCATGTGTTTTTATAGTAGAATGATTTATAATTCTTTGGGTATATGCCCAGTGATGCAATTGCTGGGTCAAATGGTATTTCTAGTTCTAGATCCTTGAGGAATCGCCACAATGTCTTCTACAATGGTTGAACTAATTTACACTCCCACACACAATGTAAAAGTGTTCCTGTTTCTGCACATCATCTCCAGCATCTGTTGTTTCCTGACTTTTTAATGATTGCCATTCTAACTGGCATAAAATGGTATCTCATTGTGGTTTTGATTTGCATTTCTTCAATGACAAGTGATGAGCTTTTATTCATATTTGTTGGCTGCATAAATGTCGTCTTTTGAGAAGTGTCTGTTCATATCCTTCACCCACTTTTTGATGGGGCTGTTTGTTTTATTTTTGTAAAGTTGTTTAAGTTCTTTGTAGATTCTGGATATTAGCTGTATATCAGATGGAGAGACAGCAAAAAATTTTCTCCCATTCTGGAGGTTGCCTGTTCACTCTGATGATAGTTTCTTTTGCTGTGCAGAAGCTCTTTAGTTTAATTAGATCCCATTTGTCAATTTTGGCTTTTGTTGCCATTGCTTTTGGTGTTTTAGTCATGAAGTCTTTGCCCATGCCTATGTCCTGAATGGTATTGCCTAGGTTTTTTCTAGGGATTTTATGGTTTTAGGTCTTATGTTTAAGACCTTTAATCCATCTTGAGTTAATTTTTGTATAAGTTGTAAGGAAGGAATCCAGTTTCAGCTTTCTGCATATGGCTAGCCAGTTTTCCCAACACCATTTATTAAATGGGGAATCCTTTCCCCAGTGCTTCTTTTTGTCAGGTTTGTCAAAGATCAGATAGTTGTAGATGTGTAGTGTTGTTTCTGAGGCCTCTGTTTTGTTTCATTGTTCTATATATCTGTTTTGGTACCAGTACCATGCTGTTTTTGTTACTGTAGCTTTGTAGTATAGTTTGAAGTCAGGCAGTGTGATGACTCCAGCTTTGTTTTTTCTGCTTAGGATTGTCTTGGCTATGTGGGCTCTTTTTTGGTTCCATATGAAATTTAAAGTAGTTTTTTTCCCAATTCTGTGAAGAAAGTCAATGGTAGCTTGATGAGGATAGCATTGAATTTATAAATTACTTTGGGCAGTATGGACATTTTCACGACACTGATTCTTCCCATCCATGAGCATGGTATGTTCTTCCATTTGTTTGTGTCCTCTCTTATTTCCTTGAGTGGTAGTTTGTAGTTCTCTTTGAAGAGGTCCTTCACATTCCTTGAAAGTTGTATTCCTAGGTATTCTATTCTCTTTGTAGCAGTTGTGAATGGGAGTTCACTCATGATTTGGCTGTTTGTCTATTATTGGTGTATAGGAATGCTTGTGATTTTTGCACATTGATTTTGTATCCTATGACTTTACTGAAGTTGCTTATCAGTGTAAGGAGATTTTGGGCTGAGATGATGGGATTTTCCAAATATACAATCATTTCATCTGCAAACAGACAATTTGACTTTCTCTGTTACTAACTGAATAGCCTTTATTTCTTTGTTTTACCTGATTGCCCTGGCCAGAACTTCCAACACTATGTTGAATAGGAGTGGTGAAAGAGGACATTCTTGTCTTGTGCCAGTTTTCAAAGGGAATGCTTCCAGTTTTTGGCCATTCAGCATGATACTGGCTGTGGGTTCATCATAAATAGCTCTTATTATTTTGAGATACCTTCCATCAATACCTAGTGTATTGAGAGTTTTCAGCATGAAGGGCTGTTGAAGTTTGTCGAAGGCCTTTTCTGCATCTATTGAGATAATCATGTGGTTTTTGTCATTGGTTCTGTTTATGTGATGGATTACGTTTATTGACTTGCATATGTTGAACCAGCCTTGCATCCCAGGGATGAAGCCGACTTGATTGTGGTGGAGAAGCTTTTTGATGTGCTGCTGGATTTGGTTTGCCAGTTATTTATTGAGGATTTTCACATTGATGTTCTTCAGGGATATTGCCCTGAAATTTTCTTTTTTTGTTGGGTCTCTGCCAGGTTTTGGTATCAGGATGATTCTGGTCTCATAAAATGAGTTAGGGAGAATTCCCTCTTTTTCTATTGTTGGGAATAGTTTCAGAAGGAATGGTACCAGCTCCTCTTTGTACCTCGAGTAGAATTCAGTTGTGAATCTGTCAGGTCCTGGACTTTTTTGGTTGGTAGGCTATTAATTACTGCCTCAATTTCAGAACTTGTTATCGATCTATTCAGGGATTCAGCTTCTTCCTGGTTTAGTCTTGGGAGGGTGTATGTGTCCAGGAATTTATCCATTTCTTCTAGATTTTCTAGTTTATTTGCGTAGAGGTGTTTATAGTATTCTCTGATGGTAGTTTGTATATGTATGGGATCGGTGATGATATCCCCTTTATAATTTTGTATTGCATCTATTTGATTCTTCTCTCTTTTCTTCTTTGTTAGTCTGGCTAGTGGTCTATCTATTTTGTTGATCTTTTCAAAAAACCAGCTCCTGGGTCCACTGATTTTTTGAAGGGTTTTCCCTTTCTCTATCTCCTTCGGTTCTGCAGTGATCTTAGTTATTTCTGGGTTTTTTTTTTTTTTTTTTGATGGAGTCTTGCTCTGTCGCTCAGGCTGGAGTGCAGTGGCACGATCTTGACTCACTGTCTTAGTTATTACTTGTCTTCTGCTAGCTTTTGAATTTGTTTGCTCTTGCTTCTCTAGTTCTTTTAATTGTGATGTTAGGGTGTCAATTTTAGATCTTTCCTGCTTTCTCTTGTGGGCATTTAGTGTTATAAATTTCCCTCTACACACTGCTTTATATGTGTCCCAGAGATTCTGGCACGTTGTGTCTTTGTTCTCATCAGTATCAAAGAACATCTGTATTTCTGCCTTAATTTCGTTACTTACCCAGTAGTCATTCAGGAGCAGGTTTTTCAGTTTCCATGTAGTTGTGCGGTTTTAAGTGAGTTTCTTAATCCTGAGTTCTAATTTGATTGCACTGTGGTCTGAGAGACTCTTTGTGAGGATTTCCATTCTTTCGCATTTGCTGAGGAGCATTTTGCTTCCAATTATGTGGTCAATTTTAGAGTAAGTGTGAATTGGTACTGAGAAGAATGTATATTCTGTTGATTTGGGGTGGAGAGTTCTGTAGATGTCTGTTAGGTCTGCTTGGTCCAGAGGTGAGTTCAAGTCCTGGATATCCTTGTTAATTTTCTCTCATTGATCTAATATTGACAGTGGGGTGTTAAAGTCTCTCACTATTATTGTGGGGAGTCTAAGTCTCTTTGTAAGCCTCTAAGAATTTGTTTTATGAATCTGGGTGCTCCTGTATTGAGTGCATATATATTCAGGATAGTTAGCTCTTCTTGTTGCATTGATCCCTTTACCATTATGTAATGCCCTTCTTTGTCTCTTTTGACCTTTGTTGGTTTAAAATCTGTTTTATCAGAGACTAGAATTACAATCCTTGCTATTTTTTTCTTTCCATTTGCTTGGTAAATATTCCTCCATCCCTTTATTTTGAGCCCATGTGTGTCTTTGCACATGAGATGGGTCTCCTGAATACAGCACATTGATGGGTCTTGACTCTTTATCCAATTTGCCAGTCTGTGTCTTTTAATTTGGGCATTTAGCCTGTTTATATTTAAGGTTAATATTGTTATGTGTGAACTTGATCCTGTCATTATGATGCTAGCTAGTTATTTTTCCCGTTAGTTCATGCAGTTTCTTCATAGTGTCAATGGTCTTTACAATTTGGTGTGTTTTTGCAGTGGCTGGTACCAGTTGTTCCTTTCCATTTTTAGTGCTTCCTTCAGGAGCTCTTGTAAGGCAGGCCTGCTGGTGACAAAATCTCTCAGCATTTGCTTGTCTTTAAAGATTTTATTTCTCCTTCACTTATGAAGCTTAGTTTGGCTGGATGTGAAACTCTGAGTTGAATATTCTTTCCTTTAAGAATGTTGAATATTTGCCCCCACTCTCTTCTGGCTTGCAGGGTTTTTACAGTGAGATCTGCTATTAGTCTGATGGGCTTCCCTTTGTGGGTAACCCGACCTTTCTCTCTGGCTGCCCTTAACATTTTTTCCTTCATTGCAACCTTGGTGAATCTGACCATTATGTTCTTGGGGTTGCTCTTCTCAAGGAGTATCTTTGTGGTGTTCTCTGGATTTCCTGAATTTGAATATTGGTCTGCCTTGCTAGGTTGGGGAAGGTCTCCTGGATAATATCCTGAAGAGTGTTTTCCAACTTGGTTCCATTCTCCTGTCACTTTCAGGTACACCAGTCAAATGTATATTTGGTCTTTTCACATAGTCCCATATTTCCTGGAGGATTTGTTCATTTCTTTTCACTCTTTTTTCTCTAATCTTGTCTTCCCACTTTATTTCATTGAGTTCACCTTCAATCTCTGATATCCTTTCTTCTGCTTGATGGATTCAGCTATTGGTACTTGTGTATGCTTCATGAAGTTCTCATGCTGTGTTTTTTAGCTCCATCAGGTCATTTATGTTCTCCTCTAAACTGGTTATTCTAGTTAGCAATTTCTCTAACCTTTTTTCAAAGTTCTCAGCTTCATTGCATTGGGTTAGAAAATGCTCCTTTAGCTCGGAGGAGTTTGTTATTACCCACCTTCTGAAGCTTACTTCTGTCATTTTGTCAAACTCATTCTTCATCCAGTTTTGTTCCCTTGTTGGCAAGAAGTTGTGATATTTGGAAAGAAGAGGTGTGCCAGTTTTTGGAATTTTCAGCCTTTTTGTGCTGGTTTCTCCCCATCTCCATGGATTTATCTACCTTTAGTCTTTGATGTTGGTGACCTTCGGATGGAGTCTCTTTGAGTGCACGTCCTTTTTGTTGATGTTGATACTATTCCTTTCTGTTTGTTAGTTTTCCTTCTAATAGGCCCCTCTGCTGCAGGTCTGCTGGAGTTTGCTGGAGGTCCACTCCAGACCCTGTTTGCCTGGGTATCACCAGTGGAGGCTGCAGAACAGCAAAGATTGCTGCATGTTCCTTCCTCTGGAAGCTTCTTCCCAGAGGCGCACCCACCAAATGTCAGCCAGAGCTCTCCTGTATGAGGTGTCTGTTGGCCCCAGTCAGGATACATGGGGGTCAGGGACCCACTTCAGGAGGCAGTCTGTCCCTTATTAGAGCTCGAACACTATGCTGGGAGATCTGCTGTCTTCACAGCTGTCAGGCAGGGACATTTAAGTCTGTTGAAGCTGCACCCACAGCCACCCCTTCCCCCAGGTGCTCTGTCCCAGGAAGATGAGGGTTTTATCTCTAAGTACCTGACTGGGGTTGCTGTCTCTTTTTTCAGAGATACCCTGCCCAGAGAGAAGGAATCTAGAGAGGCAGTCTGGCCGCAGCGGCCTTGCTGAGCTGCAGTGGGCTCCACCCAATTCCAACTTCCCAGTGGCTCTGTTTACATTGTGAGGCTAAAACTGCTTACTCATGCCTCAGCAATGGCAGATGGCCCTCCCCTGACCAAGCTGGAGCAACCGAGGTCAACCTCATAGCACTGTGCTAGCAGTGAGAATTTCAAGCCAGTGGATCTTTGCTTGCTGGGGTCCGTGGGGGTGGGACCTGCCGAGCCAGATCACTTGGCTCCCTGGCTTCAGATATCCTTCTGGGGGAGTGAATGGTTCTGTCTCGCTGGTGTCCCAGGTGCCACTGGGGTATGAAAAAAACTTCTGCAGCTAGCTTGGTGCCTGCCCAAATAGCCACCCAGTTTTGTGCTTGAAACCCAGGGCCCTGGTGGCGTAGGCAGTGGAGGGTATCTCCTGGTCTGCTGGTTGCAAAGACTGTGGGAAAAGCACGGTATCTGGGCTGGAGTGCACCATTCCTCCCGGTACAGTCTCTCACGGTTTCCCTTGGCTAGAGGAGATTCCCCAACCCCTTGTGCTTCCCAGGTGAGGTGACACCCCACCCTGCTTCTGCTCACCCTCTGTGGGCTGCACCCATTGTCCAACCAGTCCCAGTGAGATGAACTAGGTACCTCGGTTGGAAATGCAGAAATCACCCGCCTTCTGCATTGATCTTGCTGGGAACTGCAGTCTGGAGCTGTTCCTATTCGGCCATCTTGCCAGCTACCCCCCCTTTTTTTTTTTTGGAGATGGGGTTTTGCTCATCACCCAGGCTGGAATGCAATGGTGCGACCTCTGCTCACTGCAACCTCCTCCTCTGGGGTTCAAGTGATTCTTCTGCCTCAGCCTCCCAAGTAGCTGGGATTATAGGTTCATACCACCACACCAGGCTAAGTTTTGTATTTTTAGTAGAGACAACGTTTCACCATGTTGGCCAGGCTGGTCTTGAACTCCTGACCTCAAGTGATCCACCTGCCTCAGCCTCTCAAAGTGTTGGGATTACAGGCGTGAGCCACCGTGCTTGGCCTGTATGTCATTTAAAAAATTCTCAACAACCATAGGGCTTAGAAGTTGTTGTTGTTGGTGGTGGGTTTGTGTGTGTGTGTGGTTTTTGAAATGGAGTTTCATTCTTCTTGCCCAGGCTGGAGTGCAATGATGTGATCTCAGCTCACCACAACCTCCACCTCCTGGGTTCAAGCAGTTCTCCTGCCTCAGCCTCTCAGGTAGCTGGGATTACAGGCGTGTGCCACCATGCCTGGCTAGTTTTGTATTTTTAGTAGAGATGGGGTTTCACCATGTTGGTCAGGCTGGGCTCTAGCTCCTAACCTCAAATGATCCACCTGCCTCAGCCTCCCAAAGTCCTTGGATTATAGGCATGAGCCACCGCACCCAGTTGGCTTAGAAGTTTAAAGGGTTAAATGGCTCATCCACCCAAGATTGTAAAGCTGGGGTTCATGAGTCTGAAACCCAGAGGTGAGAATCAAACCAAGGAAAGTGCCCTTTCCATTATGTTATTTGAAAGAAGACAAAATAACACTGTATCTTCCATTCATACCAGGGTTCCATGCTGCTTTACCTTTCCCCCTGTAGACTGCACGATGAAGAAATACTGAAAGGAAAAGTTTGATTTGGCTTTGCCAGGAAACACTTGATGTTATTACCCTACCTTGAATATTAACTTCAGCAATATGTGGCTCAAATTCTAGATGTTATCAGCTTCAGCGAGGATGACACTTACCTTGTATTATGGCCAAGAGAATGACAATAACAAAGAAGAAGAAAGTGATGTCAAAGATGATTCGATAGATCTCATATTCATCTCCTGCTGGGTCTTCGATTTCATCCCCGATCCCTCCTCCGGCACGAACTCCAACATACATGTGGAACATATAGCACTGGAAAAAAGACATGGTATCACTTCTTGGAGGGACATTACCCATTTTTATTCTCGACAAACCCGAGTTCTCTCTGTAGTTCCTAATCCTCACTCTGGAAGTGAGAATTATTGCATTCTATATTGCCTCTTTTTGTTTCAATATTTGTAGCTGTGACGCAAACACTTGGCTTTTGCATGTTGCTGTCTTTTAAACAAAAGTGTACACTGCATACTCTGCCTAGCACTTTCTCTCTCACTTTGGAGAAAATGGAAAATTTTCTAGTATCTTGTGTCTTGTATCTAGTATCTTGGCTAGTATCTTGACTCTGAACCATCTGTTCTAATTCTAAATAATCATATTATGAACACATTAAGGGACATACGACTATATTGCATTGTTCAGTTATTTTGGACATAACAGACACTGGAAAGGTGAGGTAGTAAGATGGAATCTTAGAAATTAAGCTAGAAGAAAACATACTAATGCCCTCCCCTCACCTAGTATATATGAAATACGATGCTGAAATTCTTTTCTACTTTAATATCTACTATAAAAAAGAGAGGAGACCTGAGGAAGAAAGAGAATCTTATTGTTTAAATCCTAAAACATCAAAGCCACCAACAAATACAGCTGCCTGTGCCTACTGCTAAAATACGAGGGGTTCATTAGAGTGCATTTTAGGGCAGTGTTCTCAGCCTCAGCACCAGTGACATTTTTGGCTGGATAATTCTTTGGGCAGGGGCTATCCTGTGCACTGTACACTATTTTAAAAAGATCCCTTGGTCTCTACCCCTTAGATACCAATAGCACCCTACCTCATAATGACAATAACAGATATCTCCAGATACCAAATGTCCTGGGGGCGGGGTGGGGGGTAGTGAGGAATGAAGTCATGCTGGATTGAGAGTCACTGGCTTGGAGCATCCAATATTTTATCCTCATTTAAGCTGAGTCCAAACTCCTTTTTCAGGCCCTTGAATTTAGCCACACTCACCTTTCCCAAAAACCTCCCTCTCCGCTCTCTCCACTCTTCATACCTCCTCCAAATGAACTATTCCTGATTCCAGATCTTTGCTCGTACATTCTCCTTCTCTTGCAATAGCCTTTTCCATTCTTACCCCATTCCTACTCATCCTGTAGGGCCTAAATTAATAATCCTTCTTCTGAGATTTTCTTAGACTGTCCCAGATACCCTGACTTAATGGATGTGTCACCCATCAATTCAAAACCTAGTTAGTTGCTGCTGACCAGAACAAAGGGGACAAAAGCCTAAACACAGAAACACCACACTCTTCTGCTTCTCTTCATTTCTGGCCATTGCTTCCCAGTCTCCTTTGCCAAATCTTCCTCATCTCCCTGTGGCTTCATGAACAGTTGCTCCAGGACTGGATTCTTTGACCTTTTTCCTTCTAGGACACTCCCTTGGGGGAAGCTTCCCGGTTTCATGGCTTTAAGTTTCATCTCTGTGCCAATTACACTCATTTCTATTTCCAGGCTGAAGCTTTTTCTTGAATTCCACACTTGGATATCCAGCTTGCTTGTTTTTTTGTTGTCTATTTCATTCCCCTAGGACTGACTGCATTCCAACAAGAAATGTTTTGATTATTACTCTGTTGCCAGTGCCTTACCATGAGCACATGGTCAGTCCTCAAATCATTTGTGGGATGAATGAGGAGCAAGACCTGCTGTTTTCATGGAGCCTTCACTGCCTCAACCCACAGATCTCACATTCTCAGGACACTTGGAAAAGCACAATGTGTAGGCAAAGAGCAGCCAACAAGGTGATACCAAAATGCTCACAGTTCAACTCTGAGTTCAACAGCTGATAGATCTGTTAGATGCAGAGGAGAAAAAGTCTCCTGGGTTAGATGGCTGGAATTTAGGGAACGGAATTAAATGTGTAAAAATTTGGAAATTTAAATTTCCAAATTTAAATTTGGAAACATTTTATCAGCCTGGCATACAAGGATGAGATTGGGCACGTTCAGGGTGGAATGGTCGTAGACTCAGCCTGGCATATAATAAACAGCATTACAAGGCTAGCTCAGCCAGTGCCCACCCAAGATCTGGTCCAGAGCCCAGGTTAGGGGTCTTTTTTGCAGAAAGGCCCAGGAGATCCTTAGAGCCAGATTAGCCTGATGGGGTCTAAGCCTAACCTCATCTCAGAGCCTCCTGGATGGGAGAACATTCTGGGTTCCTGGTACTACCTACTGAATCAATCTCTGGAAGTAAAATCTTACAGACCATCCATCACTTAAAAAAAAAAAATCCTGAAGCCACTGCTGTAGTTTCTCAAAGCTTGGTGCTTGAAACTGCTAATAGTGAATCTGTGAGAAGGGGAAACTATTTTCACCATATACTGAGGCATACTGTTTGCATTTGTTTTACCACACATTTCTTATTTTTATTAAGTAAGAATTGGATTGCCTTTCTTTTTTCTTCTTCTTCTTCTTCTTCTTTTTTTTTTTTTTTTGATGGAGTCTTGCTCTGTCTCCCAGGCTAGAGTACAATGGTGCATTCTCCACTCACTGCAACCTCCGCCTCCCGGGTTCAAGCGATTCTCCTGCCTCAGCCTCCTGAGTAGCTGGGATTACAGGTGCCTGCCACCATGCCCAGCTAATTTTCGTATTTTTAGTAGAGATGGGGTTTCACCATGTCGGCCAGGCTGGTCTCGAACTCCTGACCTCAGGTGATCCGCCTGCCTCGGCCTCCCAAAGTGCTCGGATTACAGGCGTGAGTCACCACGCCCAGCCTGGATTACTTTTCTCCAAATCTGTGTCTTCATTTGTATTTAATTGTGACTACAGGAAATCAATAAAGAGTGGTTAACGCAGCTTCTTTCCCCTTTAGTTAGACCATCTTTCCCATTGCTCATGTTTCCTTGACTTCACTAGTAGCTTTGTGCTTGCAACTCCCCTCCGGGGATTTCTCTGAGGACTCAGTTTGGATAGTATACCTGGCTCTGGACTGGTACTCCTCTATGTCAAGTTCTGGTCCCCTGGGTCCCCATTCCAATCCCACAGTGAACCAACAGTGGATTGTGCAGTTCCCAGTCCAGGTCTTGGAATGTCCTAGCTCTCCATCCCTGCTTGTTATGTGTGACAGCATTAGTGGCTGAGATCACCCAGCAACTGATGGAGGAACTGATCATCCATCAGTTCCTCTTGGTGATTCCTGCTGACCAAGACTCTTGGTCTTGCACTTGGGAGTCGTTGGGTCTTGGGCTATAATTTGGCTTCCCATATAGGTGTTTGTCTAGGGAAAAGACAACTTGTTGCATTAACTCTTAATGAGTAGCATGTTGGTATTGTGACTTATACATCAGACTTATGTAATACTGGTTAATGTGAGTCTGTCCCCAAAAGGATGATTCACTTGTAGTTTCTAGACATGTAATGTTGAAGATAGGACCATGGAATGAGGCTAAATTACCAAGGAAAATGTTTCCTTCTTTGCAGATCCCTTGTCAGTCATCTAACCAACCTTTCCTGGAAATACCCTTCCTCACTGCTCTCCTTCATTTTACATCAGCTTTATGCACTGTGATGAAGGGATGCCAGCAGAGATCAACAGTGGATTTAACAGTCATGCTGAAAAGAGAGTCTTGTGCATTTGATTACTTAGGCTTAATAAATTACCAAATTTAAAAAGAATAAAATGTACAGTTCACCTGTGGGATGTTGATACTGATTTTCCCAGCCTCATCCTTTACTACCTGGTCAGCCCTAGACAATTGTATGTAGTTGGCTGTGGTGTTGGAATAGGAGATATGTGGTGAATAACTTCTAATACATGGCTGTCAGACTGTCAGCTACCAAATTATCCTGCTGCAACTGAAAATCCTTTTATCCACCTTTCTTTTCATAGAATCAGCCTAAACCTGATAATGAGGGCTGGAAGTGGAGAGAAGTAATTCTGTGAGACAAAAAGATAAGCTGCTTTCAGACAATCTGAGTAATGAGTTAGGAAGGTGCCTGGTCCTACAAAAATTGAGAAGAGGAAGTTGTTGATTCCCAAGACATTATAGTCTGCGGCTTCCCTCCCTTATCCATCTCCTAAATGGATTCATTCTGAGGTTGATCATAGTTTCTATGGGTTTTAGGGAACACTAAGGGTCAGCTGCTGGTGAAAATCCTTATGAGACCTTCATCTTGGCAAAAAAAAAAAAAAAAAAAAAAAAAAAAAAAAGGGAAACATGAGGAGAGAATTTGGAGAGAGAGAACTAGAGAGACAGATTATTTGTTGGGAAGGTAGGGTAAAATAAGTGACGACAATTAAGTGAGGTAATTTAGAACAATTACCCAAGTAAGTTTATTTCCCTAGGAGTGTACTTTTCATCTTAATCACCTGCAAAGCTATTTTTCCCCACGTGCATAGGTCTTGACACCTTCCCTGCAGCCTCTGGTTCGGGGGTCCCTCTCCGTCTGAGACGAACATCCTCCTTTATGTCAAGTCAGTCTCCCTGGCTATCTAGTGACAATCATCTTTTTACCTTGGACTTTACATCATTTTTCACTTTTCCCTCCTACGTTCTTGTAGAGGAGGTTCAAGTTCTATCAGGATACTGCTGGTTTAATTAGATTCTCAGGCTCAAAATATCCTAATCTGGAAAAAAAAAAAAAAAAAAAAATCCCCGTGTGACTTGTCTATAACACTGCAGCTATGGCGCCACCTACTGTAAATTATGAAAAGCAGAAGGGCGAGTTGCCTACTTGGAAAACCTAAGATGTTCTCTCAGATCCACAGAAAACAACAAAGAAACTCAGGATGAAGTGAATACAGTGTGACATGAGTGAGGAAAATTTATCTCAAGAGAGAATATAGACATCGCCCTGTGAAAGGAAATGTTCAAGAGACTGTCATAAAGAAAGGATTATCTTTGGAGAACTAAATTAAAGAAACGAAATCTTTGTTTCCTATTCTGTGCCGCTTTCTTGCTGGCAGGCTGGTTTTAATAAGCCTCTACTTTGAAAGTGCACTACTGTAAGTCATCAGTTATATTTTAAATTTTGTTGGCT